TTTTAAAGAAAAGTGAAAACCAGAGAGACTCGTCCTTCTGTTTTCCTATCTATGTGCTAAAATCCTAATCAAACACATTCAACTCTGTGGTCATAATGTGGAAAAAGTTCAGGGAAAATGAATATATTGTATATGCAAATTGGGATTTTTAAAATGCCCCCAATTCCAAATCCTCACAGTCTCCAAATATCATCTAATGATGAAGCACAGCTTGTTTTTTTTTTTTTCTAACTCCCACTCCTACTTCCTATATTTATCTCCACATTTTACAACCTTCCTCATTACCGCCTCGTAATTGGCCATTGGGCTAAGCTGAAAACAATGAAGCATTGATTTCCTTAAACGTAATCACCGCATCCAGTCGTTTAATGACTGCTGTCACTGCAGGACGTGGGGAGAAAAATGACCAGCCGATGGTCCCATCGATGCCCTTCACCTTCCCTCACCAAAGGCTAGAGTGCACAGCCACCCACTCCATCTTAGCAAGTTAGTTTAACCCCCTTAGCCGCCTGACAAGTTCCAGGCACTACATCCATTAGGAATGCGGTCATATCTCCACTTGTTCTTGTACTGCACTGGAACGCACCACAAGATTGCTAATGCGTTTTTTTGGGGGGAGGGGACCAAACACATCTGTATCGCATGGCGTCGCACGCTTAAGTACACGTAACATACACATTGAGACGCACAAATCAGAAGGTAATTTACCTCACTCTGGGCTCCCAGGATCCTGAGTGGGATTAAGTGTAGTTCAAGTGGCCATTTGTTGTTTAAGTGCCTCTTGTGACAGACCCACTAAAGTAATCATGGAACAATTTACACTGCACTCTGCTTCACATACCAGATGGTTCACACCTAATGTCCACCTGGCTGGATCTTACACCGCTGATATATACACACACTGACATGTTGGCTTGTTGGCGTGAGTGTGCGTGCGCATGTGTGTGTTTCTGTGTGTCCGGACTATTCATCAAGTCTGTAATTTAGGTGGTTTGTTACATCTACATTAATCACATTCTCAGGTCTTGAACACACCTAATCCGTGTTTATTTGGTTAACTACATCAAATCAGTTTGCTGTAAACCCACTCCCGTCACGTTAAGTTGTGTTTAGCAGTCGGCTGTTTTTACAGCGCAAAAGGAGCTGGCAGACAAAAGATGTTTATGACGTGGGTTATTAATATGGTTTGGTATTGATTCCCCCTCCCTCAATAAAACGTGGCAGAACATTACCCACAAGGCGGGAGCTCAATATGCACGTCGCAATCTACAAACTGTGTTCATGCAATAGAGTCAATATATAAGAAGCGGAAATTGCTGCTGCCATCATAAGAGTTCACCTTCTGAATGGCCATTGTAATATTGAGCTGTCGGGTCGAAGTCACGCAGCAGCAGATGTCCACACCTGACGGGGTTTATAAATGCTAAAGGTTGCTAAGGGTGTTGGAAGCACAGCTGGGCCTGAGAGAAATTAGCACAATGTGGATTTACTGCAGCTGATTCTGGCAGGCAGGTATTTACCAATGACATTACAATTATACAATATTCTTAAATGATGCAAACCTGATTTAAAAAAAAAAAAGCCAACTTTACCCACAATAATCAGAACAAGCGTGTGGTCATGTTCAACAAGTTACAGCAAATATTCTGATGAGTCGTTTATCAGATTAGAAGATAACCTTTAAGATAGAAAACATACTTTTCATTAAGCCCTTAAATGTTGCTTTCATTTGCTTCAAGTGGAAGACCATCATAATTAAAAGGCTTTAAAGCATCTCTCCTTATCCATTCGGTTAATCATATAAATGAACTTTTTAGTAAGATAATTTATTAAACAAGTCTGTACATTGGAAGTTGTTAGACTGTATAGTTAAAAAAAAGATTCTTAAAAACTTCCTTCAAGAAGTAGCAAAATACTATAAGTGCTGCCTTTGCTGACCATTTCCATCGCTTTATAGCCACGGCATATCCATCTTCTTACAGCTACTTCCGAAAGGAAAAAATACAAAACTTCATAAAGCTCAGATCATCTCAAACTTGGTTTGTTCAGTGCGATGAAATGTTTGTGTGATAAAACGCCCCGTCACCAGATCTCCATCCGACAGAGCGGATGTATTCCTGTATTTTCAGATTTTCATTGAATCAAAATTAAAACCCGTGTTTTAGTTCAGAGGAGATCTGGAGGAGAAGAAGAAGCGACGCTGGACACCATTTGGGTTTTGGGGTGGACCAAGAGATTGGCGTAATGGACGGTCCACTGAGAAATCTACGCCAGTTTTACCTGGCAACAACCAGTACTACATTGTCACCTTTGCTCATAGCTGCTTAAATATAGAAGATTAATGGCATGGAGTGAAAACTGTGGATAAACAGGAATGTTCATGTCAACAGTCACAAAAAACTAATCAGTAATAATCAATATCGACTGAAACGCTTATACTGAGATCATGTCATCAATCCCTATATTAGCGAAATCAGAGACCTATTTTTGGAAGCAAGTTGTGGTGTGATTAATACATAACATAGATACAACATACAATGTCCTGTTCAGTGGGAGATGTTCTCCCGGCACAAATTCTCCAGATTTCACACCAGAGCCACATCTCTCTCACCGTGTTTGATTATAGCAGTCGCTTGAGGTTTGCCGCAGAGCATCTGCTTCTAGTTTTAATTGAAAGTCTAAGAGAAATCTGTGGGTTCTGCAGGCCAGAAAGCACATTCCTGTGTGCGTTTCCCATGTTCTGCTTCTTCCTGCCCAGAAACATCTAACGAGAAGGCAGAGGGAGTGATCCTAATACGGAGCGGCAGCTGGGTCCGGCAGGACTGCAAATGTTTGTCTTGTAATCCGGAACTACTTGGACTTTGGTCTTGCCAAGACAGACATTGATGAAAATGGAAGAAGAAAACTGTTGCCAAACTCGTCCAGACTGCCTGGTGCTCAGTTCCGTAATTCATGACCCAAGTCATTTTAAATATTTGCTCAACTTGCCTGGGCAGAGAGAAACAAACTGTTTCTTTTTCTTTTTTATGCTAGCAGAAGTAAATGCCTCTTCCCTTTTTGCAGCAGAAAACCCTCTTTAAAATGCTACATTGCCAACTGATATATTGCACTACACAAATTATTTTCTCTCTGTTTTCTACTCTGTGTATTGAGTGGAATATATTAGACTCTCCTTTTCCTATCTGATGCCTCGTCCTGGGATGAGCTCCAGTTTTAATTGCTGGATGCTGCCGTCTGTTGCTGTGGCTGTCACGGGAAGATAAAGAGTTTTTCCTGCGGCCGGTAGGAGAGGGGAGAGCAGTGATGAAGGGCCTTTCTCCTGCAGCTCTGCTGGCTGCATTAGCCCCATGTGTTATAATTGTGTGAAGAGGGCACTTCCAGTGGCTACCTCATTACTCACCGGCATGGCCAGTCCCTGGCAGGAAGACACACCTTGTCCTTTAGCTCTTTCTCTCGGCCTGTCTCACTCATTTCAGGGTGTCCCTCAGCTCCATCACCCAGGCGCCCTCCCTGGGGTAATCCTCCCTATTGTTATTTTGACCCGCTAGTGCCGCTGGCGCATATCACCTTCTGCGTTGGCTGAATTTTTTTGACATCCTCCTTTGTCAAACTGGGGCAGATTGTGCAACATTTGCTCTCACCGTCAGCCGTGCTTCGGAGTTGATGCTTTAGTGCGGCGCAGCCATGAGGTTGCCTGGGCGCGGGTCGGCTTTCGAAGTTTTAATGACTAAGTGGTGCTCAATGCGGAGACAAATTGGTGGCTTGCGGTGTCCGGAGGTGGTAATCACAAATTTCAAAGAATTGTACGGCAACTTTATAATGCGGACCCGAACAAAGAAGCATGTAATTTAGTGCGGAAGAGGACTGAAGTAAAAAAAAAAAAAAGAAAGAAAGATAATTCTGACTTCTTTTCATAATTCTGAATTTAAAGTCTGAATGGTAATTCTGTGCCAATCTCTGTCAAAATCTAAGTAAATGATCAAACATTCTCAGGTGTTTATGTCAGCCATCTTGTTAGGTAAGGTCATTTTATTTATATAGCGCATTTTCAGCAACAAGGCAATTCAAAGCATTCATGAGTTAGAGAAAATACAAAGTAACTGAAGAAAAGCAAGAGAAAAAATACATAGAACTACATATTAGTTCCACATGTTTAGTAAGAATAAGAGTTTATAAACTGGTATGGGTTTCTCTGGATTCATGATCTGATAAAACTAGATGTTGGTTCTCCATGGTTGATTCTATGAAGTAGATGGTCCTAAATGTTGATCTAAGGTAATATAATAGTTTCTCTGGATAAACTAATATGAGTTTCTCTGGATTCTAAGTTTGTTAGCATATAAAAATAAATCACATGTATTGTATTTAGTGTTTATTGGATTTGTAAACCTGCACGTTGTCCACACTGAAAACCGGTCCCAAATGTATTTGGTAGAGTTGAGTTTTAAAGCCAGATATTCCTGATGGTGCATAAACAACGCAAACAACTCTGACACTTAAAGAAAAAAAAAAAAAAAGTCGAAATCCTGAGGAAAAAAGTCCAAATTGCGAAGCTGCCGAGGTTTCACCGAAGCAACACGTCAGAGTTGTTGGGGTGCGAATACTTTGTGTTAGACTCCAAATGTTTGATCGTATCGATGACAGATTAAAAATAGAGAAATGGACACGTTAGTAAATGTGCAATGTTCTTCACGAAGAGTCATCATGAGCTGATTGGTATGAAGTGAGGACAGCCAGCCCTGAATGAGAGGCAATTTGATGACATAATTGAGATTCCTTGAGGGCCAATTTGTTACACATGCTTACAGTGTAAGTGCCTGATGATTGTACTGCTGTTAAGCTGACATAATATAATGAGTAGTAGCTGAGTTTTACGAAGCTCCTCTCTCGTCCCTGTTATGGCTGCTGTCTAGGGGAGCTGCTTTTGAAATGCGTTGGTAAATTGTAAATAAGAATCGCTCTCTTTTTTTCCTCTCACATTTACTTGCTTATCTCTGCAGAGGGAGGAACTTGCGAAGTGATCGCCGCTCACAGGTGCTGCAACAAGAACCGCATCGAGGAGCGTTCGCAGACGGTCAAATGCTCCTGTTTGCCCGGGAAAGTGGCCGGGACGACACGCAACAAACCCTCCTGCGTGGACGGTGAGAACATCTGATGTCTTCTAGTGTGACGTTGCTACTGACAATTTATGCCTGAAGTCCTGTGTTGTACGCTTGATAGCTGTCTATAGTATCTGTCCTAATACATGTAAAAGACGGGTTAATATGCGTAAAAGGATAAAAGTATCCTCTATACGGAACAGAAGTTGTGGCTGGTAGAAACCAGCCCATTGTTCTACGTTTTGCTCCATTCAGAAGATCTGGGCTTTGGCTAGCTGGAGGTGAGGACTGTGTTGAAGCCGAACAACTTAACTCTGTTAATGTCAATTAAATATTTGGAAGTGTGGGCGTCAAGGACTGACCGGCATTGTTCACTTCCTCCGCTGCCATTGCTGAAACTACAGGCAGATTACACATCTAAAACATCGCAGAGAGTCGCAACTTTCGTTCACAACTTCTCCTTCTGTTCGCTGATTTCTCCATTTGATTCGCTCTAAGGAAACTTTGAATTTCTGTGTTTCTTACGCGCAAACAGAAAAGGGAAAGGAAGCTTTCTAAGCTTGCTCAGAACGCCTTGCAAGCTTAACTAAAACTGAACTTGTTTCGCTGAACGCTTTCCGTTAAATTTAAAAAAGGTGACGTGCATCCTGTCAACTGTGCCCGTGTTTCAAATCTTAAATTTCCACTGTTAAGTTATTATCACAGCTACTAAACTTTATTGTGTGCATTTGATATAGTTTCAATATCTACTTGTCTTGTCTATTATGATGCATACTGCTGCCTTTCTTATCCAGGTCACCTTTTTGAAAGGGGTCATGATCTCAATGGGATTTTATCTGGTTAAATAACAGTTGAATAAATAAACGAAATCAATGTCAATGTGAGAAATCCCTGTCAGAGGACTGAAGGGAGATGAAAATTGAGCAGAATTGCTTAGGAGAGTTAAAACCTGCCAGGTGGATGAATACTGTTGTGTTTCGCCATTAAATTAGACCTTTATGTTTTACTCCGTGCGTCAACAAAACAAAATTGCCTGGCCTCTAAAAGTGGTGCAAGTGTAGACATTTCTGTAGGATATTTACATAAACCACAAAAAATTATAAGGTCCGCAAAAATCCTTATATGCCGACTGAAACTCAAAGATTTTGTTCATTATGTCAAAATAATGACTAATTTCATCCTTTTTACATAACAGAGAGTTGATGTTTAGTTTGTCTGAGAGCTGAACATTGAAAACATTTAGACAACAATGGTAAATGTGATGAGTTATTTAAATATTTTTACACTACACTGGTGGGTGAAAACAACTGATAACTTTTCCTGGAGTGTCATTAAGCACTCGGGGAGAAACGGAGGAAAAGTTGAATTTGTTTAAACCAAACACAAATGTTAGCTCTTTAGCCTGTCATCGTTTCCATCCGGCACTTTTCCATCTTCTACAGCAGCAGCAGCATCTCTGTGACCGAGTTGCCGAGTCTTGACAAAACATCTCTAAGGCAGGTTGTGCAGCGGACTGAATTATTTTATTTCATTCTTTCTCCAGTGAGTTTTTTAGAAATAGTAATAAAACCCTGACTGTTGCCCTAACAAATCCGGATTTATATATAATCAGCTGACAATACGGTAAGCTGCTGTGCAGCTCATCTACTAAAAACATCCTTGTAATTCAAAAGTCCCAACTTTCTTCCACATTTTGTTAGGTTCGTCACTTAACTTCACTGTGCCTGTTAATGCACTTTAATGTTTATGTGATGTTTGAACTATTATGCAGATATAAGCGTTTTAGCTTATTCAAAGGCGGCTGCGGATCCCAAACCGCTGTCCACTGTTTCAGCCCGTAAAACAGATTTAAAATAAAAGATACATCTGGAGTAACAGTATCAAGCTCGTACGTAACGGTGAACGCCCAACAAAACCTGTTTAGCTTCCTCACAAAAGACACAAGCTTTCTTTGTTTTCTCCCATTTTTAGTCAGACTTTTGTTGGCAGCCGCCTACCTTTTCTCTGTTTGCCTTGCAGTGTGGGCAGCTGTTGTCAGAGCTGGAATAGCTTCTTTTTCTTCATGATCTTCTGCCACAGCCTCCACAACCTGTTGTGGATGTGCACACACATCAATATTTATAGAAAAACCAACTTTCTCTCCCCAAAAAAAACACAAAGAAAGATTTATATACAGTTTGTTTGGTAAAGAGCCGAAGGAGTCTGGAGAAGACAGCTTTAATTTTAAGTTGTTAAAGAAAATCTTTCCAAAATCACGTCAAAAGTGCAATCACACAAGAGTAAAAGTTGGAATTAGCCTTTTTTGGCTTTAAGCTCGTTTTTTTTTTGTTTTTTTTTTTTCAATGATCCTTTATTAAACCACAAATTATTCAAACGTGATTTTATTTCATTCTTTTTTCTCCTGTCTGCTGATATTTGTAATGGGGAAAATTCAGTGGACCGTGAAAAGCGGCGCCGTGCTTCTGGGCACGATGAGGGGAAGAAGATGATCCAGTTCAGCTGCTGAACACCGAGCACGGTGCAGATCACATCGCTTTAGGCTACTCACACTGATGGAAATGAATAACTAATAAACAGGCAGGAAAGCTTCGGGCTAATGCACCTGGATTACCTCAGCTGAAAAACAAAACACACACACACACAATCAGAAAAAGGGGCAGCTTTTCGTGGCGGGGATGTTGGGAGGGATTTTAAAGGAAAAGAAAATCTGACAGGAAGTCACAAGTCTGCCGTGACAAAAATCTAATGCCCTTTTACTCCGCGGAGCTCGTTTATCGCTCCTTGGTCTCGAGCCTTTTCACCTTCGCCCCCAGAAAAAGATCAAAGTTATCTCTCTAAGTGCCCTCTTGCGAAGAAGAGACATCAAAATGTCTTCATTACGGAGTGCGTGGCAGACAGAGCCGCTCTGCGCGGTGCCACAGCTGACACTCCAAAGGATCCTAGAAAATGAGGTAGAACAACTCGTCAGCGCCAGGCGTACAAGGAGCCTCTGATCTGCTCTCGTAGCAGAGGTGGGCAACCTGCGGCTCCAGAGCCATGTGTTGCTCCTCGCCCCCCCCCACAGCGCCTCCTATCAACCGAAACCAGGAGTCGCACACAAAGAACGAATGTTTAAATGTAAAGAAAGTATAGACTGATTTATGCAGCATCTCTTCAGATTTGCACAGAATTAGACTATTTGCAGGAGGAATACGTTTATTTGTTTTGGTGCTTTGATGGTTAAAAAGCAAAGCCATTGTTTCACTAAGTAGACCATTTTTATTCGTCGTTAATTGATATGGTAAAGTAACGTTGGGCATTTACTGGATTGTTTCATTTGTCATGGTAAATTTCTTGTCAGGATAAGAATTTTGATTTATTGTCGTCACAATAAATCAAATGAATCCCAATGAATGTTTGAAACTTCCCATAAGCGTCGTTGAGATTGGGGGTTTTACTGTTTTATCAACAAATATCAATACATTTTAAAATGCATTTAGTTTTATTTTGTAACCAGGTTGCAGATTTCTGCCCAGGTCCCTCTTGGAAATGAGATCTGGATCTCAACGGGGTTTACCTGGTTAAATAAAAGAAATTAAAAATAAAGTTTAGTGATAGTAATCAAACTTATTTATGCGACTGGTGTCCTAAATATGCATATTTCAAATTGATAGCATCTATGTTTGTGATGGCCGTGTCATGCAGTCACAGCCACACAGTTACCTAAAAAATAAGCAATAAGTGATTCTTATCGTCACATTTATCATGATCATAATAGTACCTCAAAATACTCTGATAAAATTTTAAGTCCATATTGGCCACCCTTATTGTAAAGATAAGAGAATCAGAAAATACCTTATTGATCCCTGAGGGGAAATTGCTTATTTGTTGATAAGCCAGTCCATCCAAATATTAGCAAATAAAAATATGACCACAAGTGAGATATATATATATATATATATATATATATATATATATATATATATATATACACAAGTGTGATATTATAAGTAATTCACATATGACCTAAATATAAAATGAATTAAAGGAATAAAACATGTACATGGAAACATGTTAATCTAAAAATGGCTCCAGAGTAAACTTAGACTTATAATGTGTATAACGTGACATTTCAATGAAAATGAAACAATAAAGCTAATTCAGTACAATATATGATGACAAAAATTAAGACTTTTTTTTGTTTGTTTTTGTTTTTTTCAATTAGAGTCGAGCCAGTTTTGACAAATTCTTTTAGCAACCAAAATGTCTCTTGGGATCAGGAAGGTTGCTGGTTACTGTCCAATATTATTAGTATTATTAGCATTATTATTATCATTTTGCTTCTATCCACATCGTCTCTCTCAGACATCATTTCATCACAGGCTGAGCTAAGGCTGACACAGGTATTTTGGATCCACTTGGTTCTGTTTGCGCCATCATGGAGGGTCAGTCCTGCTTTAGACAGTCTGCATTCACCTCGTTGGCAGACAGTGGAGTCAATACTGTCACCACAACTTCTTGTCAAATATTTCTTTGCTATTATACGGTGGTTTGTAAAAGATTTGTGTGGATTCTTAAAGTTGGCATTGAGCCGTAACGCTGTAGTCTCTTGTTTCTGGGCCTTGTGGATTTTTCTCCTTTCCAGTCCAGCTGCCGTTTGTAGAATATTTAACTCACCTGTTTGTTAATTATACCACCTGAATCCTTGCATTACAGCACCAGGCACCAATGAATATCTCAGAGAACTTGCAGCACTCTGAAGCATTCAGTCTTGGACGTAAATTCGCTGCTCACGGTCTGGACAGATGCAGCGCTAAAGCTAAAACCTTTTTAACCGCAAATAACTTACGGGTGAAAATAGCTGTTTTATTGGCCTTGAAATAAGGACGCCTAACGAGACTCGGCAGAGGTATGCAAATCAGACGATTTGAGGTGGAGGTTTAGGTGCTGCGGCAAACATTTCATGCCTCTCTGCTTCAAGCTCACCCAGGGAGCGAAGTCTTGCTGTGTGTATTGATCAACAAGCACTTTCAGAAGGCGAGGTGATAAAAATAAAGATGACA